AATTAGTTCTGTTTAGCTCAAAGCAGGACATTTCCTGATGAGTACAGGTCAGTAACTCAGCTCTGTTCTGCATCTCACTGCCAAACCTTCATCCACTTTGTGTCTTCTTTCAGGCAGAAAGATGTCATGAATGGGTTTGTTTTTTCCATTTTGATCCTCTAAATGCAAATATTAAAATGTGCTTCACAGAGTTCTGAACACAGTTGTAAAGAAACTTCACAAAGGAAGTTTCCAATTATCTTAAGGTTGATTGAGCAAATTTTCATGCTAGCTGACGGAAATCCCCAGGGCTAAGGCTTTTAAACTTAGCGGAATTACTAACTTTGGGATAGATTTCTCTTAAAAGATGACTTGAGTTTCTGTTAATTAATTTGCTGATTATTAAAAAAAATAACCTGACTTTCCTTTTAGTTGGAGTGCTTATAATTAAATACATTTAACTTTTTCTACTAAGCATCATTTCTGAGAATAGTGCTAAGAAGTTACGTGAAGTGAAGATAACCTCTGTCTGTGTTAATTCATTGATTTTGTAACTAGGTCTCAAAATGTTAATTAGTATTATTTTTAACAGTGTACTTTAAAAGCAGTGGACACTTTCTTGGCTATATGTATGCCAACACTTTTTAGAGGTGGGAAGAACTGTTACTGTGCAGTGCTGCTTGAGGTTTTGGAAGTCTGGTTTCAAATGTTTAGTATTAACACTTTATTCCCCCCCCCCTTAGTCAAACCTGTGTGCATACAGGAGTGAAATGTTAATTTCAGGACTACAGTCCTCACTTAAACTGGTAACAAAGTGTAATCTCAATCCTGTTTCATTCTGTGCCCTGGGTAAGTTACTTAAACTGTTGTCTTTTCACCTATGTACCTGGAAGGTGGAATAAGGCTTCCCTAGGGTATCCAAGTGCTGTGGTTCTTAACTGCCGCAAGCCGATGTTGCCTTTATGAAAAATGCGCTGGCAGGTCTGAGTGGCGCTGTGTGACACAGTCTCCCTTTCCGTGCTCCCTGAACACCACGGTGGCAGGCAGCTTGGGTCAGCACTTTCTGTCATTGGAACTGCCTCTCTTGGGATGGGGCTAGCAGGGATAGTGAATACTTTAGCGAAAGTTTCTGAATAAGTTGGGTTTTATTTAAAAAAAACACAACAAAACAACCCCCAGATTAAACAACTAACAACTAATTTT